CTTTTTTTTTTTTTTTTTTGACAGGCAGAGTGGACAGCGAGAGAGAGAGAGAGAAAGGTCTTCCTTTGCCGTTGGTTCACCCCCCAATGGCCGCTGTGGCTGGCGCACCACGCTGAACCGAAGCCAGGAGCCAGGTGGTTCCCCTGGTCTCCCATGGGGTGCAGGGCCCAAGCACTTGGGCCATCCTCCACTGCACTCCCGGGCCACAGCAGAGAGCTAGACTGGAAGGGGAGCAACCGGGACAGAATGCGAGGCCTGACTGGCACTAGAACTCGGGGTGCCTGCACCGCAGGCAGATGATTAGCCTGTTGAGCCGCGGCGCTGGCCCCATTTTTGTATTTTTATTTCTTTGAAAGACAGAGAAACAGAGGGCAGGCAGACACAGAGACTCAGAAAAGAGATACAGAGAGACCGATCTTCGGTCTGCTGGTTCCTTCCCAAATGCCCATAACAGCCAAGCCTGGGCCAGGCCAAAGGCAGGAGCCTGGATTTCAATCTAGGTCTCCCATATGAGTGTTAGGGACCCCACTCCTTGAGCCATTGCCTGCTGCCTCTAAGGGTGCACATTATCAGGAAGCTGGATGGGAAGCAGAGCTGAAACTCGAATTCAGGCACTCCAATATGGGATATGAGTATGCCAAGTGGTATTTCAACTGCTGTGCCAAATGCTCGCCCCAATTATATTTCCCCTATATCTTTATATTTATATCAAAATTCATTAATTCACACCAATACCTGCAATTCTAATCTTACACCATGCCATGGGGTTTGAATTTCTCCTTTTTCATGTTTTATGCTCGATTGTCTGACTGTGGGGAGCAACTCGGACTAAACTGTTACTGGAATTAAGACTTATTCTATGCATCTGCTCTCCCACAATATGGCGCTGGGAGAGGAGGAAACAGCTTCTACACAGCTGCCTCCAGTTCAACCAATAAACAGCAGGACCTGCTCCTGATTGGAGGAGAGCAGCGTACTCGGCGTGTGGGTACCAGAGTTGGGATTGGTGGAGAGGACTATAAAGGAGGAGAGAGACAACATGCACCAGGAACATCTATCCGAATAACACCTGAGCAGCCCCCGAGAGAGCCGGCCGGCGGTGTGCCGCTCCCCCGTGGAAGTGGGGAAAGTGGCAGGGGGAACCGCCCTTCCACGGAGGTGGAAGGGACGGTAGCCAACCTGGGAAGAACCAGCAGCAAACCCGGGGAGGGCCGAGCAGACAAAAGAACAGCGCAGGGTCCTGTGTCGTTCCTCCGCGAAGAGGGGGAGCAACATCTGACAGTGAGAAACATATATCCACCGTGCTTAATAAATAGCCTCAAAATATATCAATCAATCTCTCAACACAGGCACACCATGTAACAGGTGCCTCCACTAAGGCTCTGAAGCCCCTCGGGGGGCTGCTCCTTCTCCACACTGGATGCTCTCTATCTTGTCACATCTCTGACACACCATGCAGAGCCACTGTCCTGATAGGTAAGAGAGACGTGTTTGGCTCTTGGTCACCTCCTTATTTCAAACACCTAGAGCAGTGATTGGAATGAACATAAGTCGACTGAATAGCCATATTGCTCATGTAGTACATTCCTTCTGTGTTGAGCACTCTGAGATTTTCCTTACTCTTTAACCCACAGGATTCCCACGCAATAGTTTCTGCAATCCAGTTTTAACTGTTTATGTAAGTGTAGTTCATAGATCGGCCATGAGAGGGCAGCAGAGGGCCTTTACGCTGGTGTGTGCTTCGGCTTCAATTCTCGTGCCACTCTGATGCCAGTATACTCAGAAAGAATTTGAGTTAATTCAGATCAGTATAGCCCGATGTGTACAAGAATGAGTCAAAGTAGAGTACTGAGACTTGGAGAATGACAGTTCATAAACAAAGATGGGGCCTATATGATAGCCCAATAACGGGCTGACTGGAGAAACGGCCAGAGATCAACGAAAGTCGACTGAAGAAGGCAGGCTGGGGCCCGCCTGTGGGCAGTACGTTAAGCCACTACCTGCCACACCAGCTTCCATATGGGTGCTGGTTCATGTCCCCACTGTTCCACTTCCGATCCAGCTCTGTTGCCAGTGCGCCTGGGAAAACAGTGGAAGATGCACTGCAGCCATGTGGGAGACCTGGAAGAAACTCCTGGCCCCTGGCTGCAGCCTGGCTCAGTCCTGGCTGTTGTGGCCTTAGGGGAGTGAACCAGGAGATAAAAGCTCTCTCTCCCTCTGTCTCTTCTCTCTCTTTGTAACTATGCCCTTCAAATGAATAAATAAATCTTTCTTTAAAATTTGCTGGGATTTCTAAAAATTATCAGTTGTGATTTTCCTCTCTTTTAGCTTACCATGAGGAGTGTTGTAGTTACTTTGATGACTTTACATATTAGGTTTGGGGGCAGCGCTGTGGTGTAGTGGGTTAAGCCACCGCCTGTGGCGTTGGCATGCCATAAGGCGCCGGTTCTAGTCCTGGCTACTCCGCTTCCCATCCAGCTCTCTGCTATGGCCTGGGAAAGCAGTGGAGGATGGCCCAAGTCCTTGGGCCCCTGCACCTGCATGGGAGACCTGAAGGAAGACCCTGGCTCCTGGCTTCGGATCAGTCCAGCTCCAGCCACTGCGACCAATTGGGGAGTGAACCAATGGATTGAAGACCTCTCTCTCTCTCTCTCTCTCTCTCTCTCTCTCTCTCTCTCTCTCTGCCTCTCCTACGCTCTTTGTGTAACTCTGACTTTCAAATAAATGAATAAATCTTTAAAAAAATAAATATTAGGTTTATACCCCCCGACACACACACATTTTAGGATATTGGTTTCTAAACCTATAGGAGTTAAAGATGAAGCTCTATACCCTCCTCTCCTACCTTCATCATGTAGATCACTCTCTCCAAAGCCCGGCCTTCCACGCGTGGGGTTAAATCAATACTCAGTAGTCATAAATACAGCTCCTTCTGTTGCACAGATCTTGTTTTCCCTGAAGCTAGTACCTGCATGATCCTTGAATCTCTTTGGGTTTCTGTGTATCCGTTCAACTCCCAGACTCTAGGTTGAACATTAAATCTCTTCAGGTTCAGGTGCAGCCGGAGTGCTGTCAAATCCATCCTCTGACACAGAATTTCCCAGACATTTCTGACCAAAAGGAAATCTGGCCGGGGCAGCTGGCTGGCTGCCTGCGCACAGCTGGCATTGCGGGCTCTTTCAGCATCCTCTTGGCATTCACTATGCTCCCCTTACCTTTCGTATCTATTGTGTTTCCTGGGTTTCCCAATGTTCTCCTTCTTGGCTTATTCCCGCATTGTGATGGATCACATCTCTAGCATCTTCCTGAGAAAGGTGACTGAGAGGCACGTTTAGTTTAGATTGCGCATGTCTGAAACTTGGCGGATAGTCGTCCAAGTGTTGACAACTAAGTTGGAAGTAAGTTTCCTTCAGAAAATCGAGGGTAGCACTTC